AAAACAATGGCTCCCCGTCCAACATGGTCAGTTATGGTTACAGATACAGATACAACAGCTGCAGATACAGATACATTGGCGACCAGAGATACGGATGCGGGCGCGCTCTGGCCATGACCTCGTCTCTGATGTAAGAATGGGCGGCAAATCAGCACAGTTTCGCCAAAGCTGCAACAGAGCGTGATCTGGCTGTTGTTTCTGGTTTCTCCAACAGCCAGTGGCAAGTCCCAATCCAATTGGCCGCCAATTGGGAAAGTACTTAAACAAATGTCCATTCGAAGTGTGTGTAATCCTCGTATTACTTCAGTCCCTTGTCTCATTACAAACATTTGTAAAGCTACTTAAACGGTTGACTAGATGGAAGAGTTGCGTTTAAATATTATTTGCTTATCCAATTGAGAGATATATTCTCCATCAGGCAACTCTTGGAGCTCTTCGTTTTCATTATCACTCGTTTCGCTTATCACTGCAAAGATTTCCACTTGTTCCCCATGATTAAGGGTTTCGCTTTTAACCTGTTCTCAGTATGTTCCATTTTCAAATGTTCTCCTTATGTCACTTTTATTTCCTACCTACACTATTTCACTTCTCATTTTCGCTTGTTGCTTAACCAAGAAAAGATTTCCACCTGTTTCCTACGATTATGTGTTTCAATACCACTTGTTTCTAGTTTCATTTGTTACCTTCACTTATAAAATGTTCCATTTTCAATTGTTCCCTTTTTAATATGTTCCTAATAAGGTGTTTCGTTGTTGTACATGTTCCCAATAAGATTCCATTTTCATTTGTTACGTTCACAGTGTTTCATTCTCAATTGTTCCCTTTTCCATTTTCACTTGTTCTCACTTGCGTTTTGTTTCATATATTTAATCTTTTTGTAAATTGATTATTCCAACATTTGGTTGAGATTAATCAAAAGAAGGCTCTTAATCTTGGCTTTTTTACAGCTCATTTATTAAATTGAACATTTTAATAAACGATGTACATAATCTGTTAAGCCCAAAGCAAATATAAGCAGGCAATAAAAACAATTTGCAAACTTAAATGGATTGACACACTAACACACATAAAAATCACACTTTACGCTGGACGGAAATAGCAGCAAAAAAAAAAAAGCAATTGTAACTGGCGCAAATTAAACCAATTTTTGATGTGCAACACCAAATGCCGCAAATGCCGATGACAGCTTAATTATTTTCAAGAGAGTGAGAGGGAGAGAGAGAGAGCGAGAGAGATACATTTCATATGATATTGTTAATGGGTTAACAACGCGTCAAGTCCAAGCTCAAAGAAAATATAACAAAAAAAAAAAGAAGAAAAAAACCCGTAAGCAAAAGGGTTTGGCCAATCAAAAGCCAGCCAAGCCAACGGGGCCGTTATGCAAGCAGTTGTTGTTGTTGCTGTCTCCTTTTGTTGTGTAAGGCAAAGGCTCACGGGCAGCAACAACAACAACAGCAACAACAACAACAACAAAAGGAATTGCCAATAGGAAGTTCATATCGGCAGCAATATTACCGTAAGCATAAACGTAAACACAATCAAAATAACTGTTAATACCTAACCAGCAGCAACAAATAACAACAATAAATTACGACAAGAGAAGGGGGGGGGGGGGTCTGCTCAACTTGCATATTAATTTAATTTTGTTGTTGTTCGTTGTCGATATTCGATTTAAAATTTGAATTTTAAAATTTTCGTAGCCCAACCAGATTTTCTCTTAGTGAATGAAAGTGGAGCACTGCACAGACCACCCTCCCTCCCCCCCCCCCCCCCCTTGCTCACACAACAAAAAGAGCGGAAGAGCTGGCAGAGTTTATTTTTTTTTTTTTTTGTTCGATCTTGATCTCGTACAAGTTTTGCAAAGGGCGCTCGTCTCGCGTGTGAAAGGTCAACACTCTCGAGCGCGAAACGAAAACGAAATTGAGAGAGAAAAATAAAACGAAAACGAAAGCGAACAGCAAAACGAGACGGCCTTCAATGGGCCGTCGTCGTCTGCAGACGCCCGCCCGTTCGCTCTCTCTCTCGCTCTCAGCTCAAGATTATCTTTGGCACTTGCCAACACTTACATAACGGCGACTCAGGCTAAATTCGGCATCTCCCGTTGGTTTGGTTCGTGTATAAAAACGCGCCGCTGCGCCGTTTGCCGAATCATTTACAGTTTGTCGTTGTCCCCAGCAGACGACCAAAAAGGGAACAGAAGGCAAAAGCAGGCACATCCTGAACAGCTGAGTCGTTAACCCTAACAAAATGGCGGCGTATTTCATAGTGAGTGTGCACCGTTGCTGTTGTTGCAATTGTTTTCAGTGGATTTTAACCGTTGTCCTACACTTGCACAGCTGAGCGTCTTACTGCTCGCCAGTCCGGCCGCCTGGGGCAAGCCCACCTTTGGTCGGGAGCACGTCCACATACGCATACACCTGCCCGAAAGTGACGGCGGCGGCGGTCATGATCATGGCCATGGTCACGGCGGCAGCGGCGGCGGCGGCGACTTTTCCGCTTACGAGATACACGATCATGGTCATGGCGGCGGCGGCGGCGGCGGAGGAGGCGGCGGTTACGGTGGCGGCGGTCATGTAAGCACCTTTGCTATCATCACCGAGAATCATGGCGCCTCGGGTGGCGGTCATTACGGCGGCGGCGGCGGCGGCGGCTATAGCGGCGGTTACAGCGCCGGCGGACATGACCATGGACACGATGAGGCCAAGCTGGCAGTGATTGCAGCTGCTGCCGGCGGCGGCGGCGGTGGACATGGCGGCGGACATGACTACAGCGGCGGCGGACATGGCGGCGGCCATGACAGCGGCGTGGCGCACATTGCGGCCATTGCAGCCAGCTCAGATGCCTCCTCACATGGCAGCAGCGGCTACGGTGGCTACAGCGGCGGCGGCGGCGGCGGCGGCGGTGGACATGGTCATGGTGTGGCTCAGATTGCGGCCATTGCAGCCAGCTCGGATGCCTCTGCGCATGGCGGCAGCGGCTACGGCGGCTACAGCGGCGGCGGTGGCGGCGGCGGCGGCGGCTACGGCGGCGGTGGTGGACACGGCGGCGGTCATGATGATGCGCACCTGGCCGCTGTGATAGCTGCCTCTGGCTCCGCCTCTTCCTCGTCCGCCTCGCATGGTTCCGGTGATGTGGGCTACAGCAGCTATGCAGCGCCCGCCAGCGGCTGGGCCGGCTCCGGCGTCAGCTCCGGCTACTCCGGCTACAGTGGAGGCAGCAGCTACAGCAGCGGCGGCGGTGGCTACAGCGGAGGCGGCGGTGGCTACAGCGGAGGCGGTGGCGGGGGCGGCTACAGCGGTGGACACGATGATAGCCAACTAGTTGCCGCAGCTGCTGCTGGCGGCGGCTCACATGGCTCCGGAGGCGGCGGCGGCGGTGGTGGCTACAGCTACTCGGCGCCCACTGGCGGCTGGTCCGGCGGCGGCGGAGGTTCCAGCTGGTCCTAGGCAGCAGCCAGGGTGGCCATTGGTCGTCTAGTCTATGTTCATGTTCATGGCCCATTCGATATAAGTTATGATTCGCGCACAATCCATGCACAAAGGTTGGCAGTCCAAGTCAAACCGACAGCTACATCATCTCCTCCAGCATCTGCATCCGCATCTTCTTCGTATTTATATAACTGGCTAATTTGCCCAATCTTGAATATGTCCATGTGTACAAAATAAAGTATGTAGTCTAATAATTTAAGAGCACAGAAAAGTCGACTCTCGCGGTCAACCGGCCGCGATTATGTCAGCCGCCGACTTGGTGAAAGTGGCCACAGATGCCGCAACAGCTCCCAGCCTCGACTCATCATCATCTCATCACAGTGACGCAATCTCTTTCAAGATCAAGTTATCAAGTTATCATCGATGTGGATGATGATGATGATGATAATTATGCGACGATCGACAAACACGTTTGCCTCGCAAACAATTAGTTAATATTATCAAAAAGAGTCGGAAGGGAATCGGAAATTATATATAATTCCACTCGTATGCATGATTTCCAGCCATTTTCCAGTTCATGGTGGGGAAATGAGGTGTGAAATTTTACTTGAGTAACCTTAGTTGAGTGTGAGCTAAGACGGGATTTCTTGTGGAGAATTCCACTTGGTTGCATGAAACTTCTGTTCCACCCATTTTTCACTTCAGGGTGGGGAAAGGGGGGTTTCAAAAAATGGGTATGTATGCGATTTCTGAGGATTTTCATTGAAAACGTTAGCAAGAGTTTTTTTTGGAGAATTCCACTCGTTTGCGTGGAACTTTTGTTGCTTCCCACCCATTTTCCACTTCGTGAAGGGGAAATGCGACTCGAAATGGAATAAACGAATTGGGTATGAGTGAAATTTCTAAGGATTGTCATCAAGTTATCATTTTAGTTAAAAACTTTAAGAAGAAAAAGGTTTATTTGCTGAATTCCATTCGTTTGCATGGAACTTTTGTTGCTTCCCACCCATTTTCCACTTCGTGAAGGGGAAATGCGACTCGAAATGGGGTAAACGAATTGGGTATGAGTGCAATTTCTAAGGATTGTTATCAAATTATCATTTGAGTCAAAAACTTTAGGAAGAAAAAGATTTGTTTGCGGAATTTGACTCGTTTGCATGGAACTTTTGTTGTTTTCCACCCATTTTCCACTTCACGTTGGGGAAATGGATAATTGTGAAATCTTCGGGTTCCAATGATTCTAATGACATTTGAGTCGAAAACTTGTTTTCGTCGAATGCTCAAGACATTTCAAGTTTCCCACAGATTTAGTTTTATGTCCAGATCCGCACAGCTATAGCTTGGCTATAGATAGAGCTAATTTCTGGCTTGAATACATTTCAGATTGGATTTTCATCAACTGATCGATTGTTAAAATGATTAAAATTATTATTAATTATTATAATCCAATATCGTAAGAAAAGAGTGTAGGAAAAGCATATCGAAATGAAGTTCTGTTGCATATAGTATATACACATATGTATATGTACATACATATTTATATACATACATATATATATATATATATATATATATATTGTAATAGTTGTTTACTTTTCAAGAGGGTTTCAATTATTTCACAGATTTCTTGACACCGGACCTGTTCTCCTTCTTCATCTCCTTCTCGTAGTCCCTCTTCTCCTTTGTCACTTTGTCAGTTTTCTGCTCCTCCTCCTTCTCCTTCAAGCCCTGCTCGTATTTCTGATAGGGCATGGTAATGTTGCGATTAAAATAATCGTATATGGTAAAATAGAAGGCGGACATGACGCCCGACTTGTACAGCGTGGGCAGCATACCCTTGTAGAAGCCCAGCCAGCCCTCCTTCTCGAACGTGGTGCGCATACAGTGCATTATCGTGTCGCAGTTGGGATTGCTGCCGAATGTCTTGCGATCGTGCTGGAAGTGGCTGAGCATGGTTCGTTTCTTGATCAGATCGGCCGGGTAGACCAGCATCTTGGATAGAACGCCGGCAATGGCACCATTGAAAAACAACAGGGCGCCGGGTATTGTATGCTTGGGCGTGGGATCGCCATGGAAGTAACCGTTCAGGGTGATGGCCAGACGATTGCAGAACTTATAGATGACGAAATTGGCGCCCACCAGCGGATAGATCTGTATTAGGGTCATCATCATGCCGCTTGAGATGCCGCGTATGCCCTCCTTTTTGAATATTTTGCCAACGCCAGACACCGGCTTCAGCGATCCGGCAAGACTGCCCGGATCGGCGGCCACCACCCGGGTGCGGATCACATCGAATGGCTGCGCCAATATTGTGCCCATGCAGCCGGCCAGGCCGCCGCACATAAAATAGCTGAGATGCGGATGATCGTTAAAGAATTTTGTTTGATAGGCGGCCTGATGCAGTTGCTCATACGACCAGAACTGCACCAGGGCGTACGTGATGCTCATCATTTGGGCGGCCATGTGACCCTTCCAAACGCCGCGCAGCCCCTCCTCCCGATAGATGCTGGAGAACGCATGCAACATTCCGCTATATTTTGAATTTAACGATTTCCTCTTCAACGGCTCCACCTGCAATTGGAATCGTATCTTTAGCACATCAAACGGCTGCGTTACAAATCGTGTTATTGCCCCGGAAACACCACCTCCAATCGCCTGCAGCATTTGAACATGCGTCGAGTTCGTGGACGACTTCTGAAATGGGCTTCAATCAGATACATACATTCTCCTCTGATCCAATTTAATTGCAATTACAATGTTTAACAATTGTTCGTTGCGTGTAATTCTGAAGCACTCGAAACTATCTATTTAAATGACACCTGGTTAGGACACCCTGTGAAGTGTTTACTCATTTTCTTATTGGAGCCCCAACTGATTGGTCTTCAAAGACTCTTGCGACACCCAGTGCGGTGGTTAAACAGTTTCTTATTAGAATCTGAACTGAACTTCATAATTGTTTACTTTCATAATTATTCTAATTTATATTAGCTTAGTCTTTCAATCTACTTAAACTAGCAGCAAAATGGCATTGGGTCACCCTGTGATGTGTTTATTTATTCTCATTTATATCAGCTTCGGCTTTCTTATTGGAATCTACGCTGATTTACTTGTAATCTTTAAAAAGCACAAGAAATGTTCATAGCTTGTGAAAATTCTCTTTCTTACTAACTCCCTCTCTCTCTCTCTCTCTCTCTCTCTGTCTGATTGCAGTTGCCACCCTGTGCGGTGGTTAAACATTTTCTTATTAGAATCTAAGCTGGTTTACTTGCATATTAATTCGAAATTGTTTTGTCGAATTCGAATATTTATAATTGTTTACTTTCATAATTATTCTAATTTATATTAGCTTAGACTTTCAATCTACTTAAACTAGCAGCAAAATGGTATTGGGTCACCCTGTGATGTGTTTATTTATTCTCATTTATATCAGCTTAAACTTTCTTATTGGAATCTGAGCTGATTTACTTTTAATTTTTAAAAAGCACAAAAAATGGGATTTGGTCAGTTGCCTTCATAGCTTTAAGTGACACCCTGTGAAAATTCTCTTTCTTACTAACTCCCTCTCTCTCTCTCTCTCGCTCTCTGTCTGATTGCAGTTGCCAAACAGCAGGTCGTCGCGTACACGCAAAAGTCGCAGGTCAAGCACGAGACTCGCCACATTCAGCTGGTGCGCGAATATGGCTTCCATCCGCGCACCAAAGCCTCCGTGGAGGACGGCGACGTGTTGCCCCGAAAGTTTGAGCCCTTTCCGGAGGACATGTACGGCAAGCCGCTTGAGGAGATTGACACCTTTATATACGAGGAGGTAAGTTCCCCCCCCCCCCCCCCCCCACACTCTCCCATGACCATGCCCCCGCCCACCGTTCATATGCATATTGTTGCAACAAAAAACAACAAAATATGCCAAAAATAAACCCAACTGCATTTGGCCCATTGCCATTTCCATTGCCTTTAATTAATAGCTCACACACACACACACGCACACACACAGATACACAGGGTGTTTTGTGTGCCAGTTTATTAAAAACAAAAAAAAAACCCCCAACTTTAGCAAAGCCCATTCACAGTGTGCAGCAAGTGGCACAGACGGAAATGGAACGCGCTGTTGTTGTTGCTGTTGATGAAAAGTGCAAATGCAGCGACTTAATGAAAATGAATGCACTTTTGATGGCAAACAGAGGTTAATGGAAATGCAAACGGTTAGAACAGCCCTCGTGGGCCCACTTGAAAAGCCAAATGCGCCACGGATATCAGCATAATGTTCCACAAAAACAAAAAACGGAGTGAGAGTAAATTTAGCAGCAGCTACAAAAACAAATATAAATACACACACACACACATGCAAATACACATTGCGGCAGGAAATGGGTCATGCGGAGTTTGCGTTTAAAAAAATGGCTGAGCAATGTGACGGTTGCCTTAAGCAAACTGCCAACCGACAGGTGGAGCTAGCGCTTGGCTTGGCCATGCAGCAGCCCAGCCAGTGCTGGACAAATTATAGGCGAACATGCAAGTTTACTTAAGACTTGGCAGCGTTCCATACAATTCACACACACACACACACACACAGACGAACACACACACACACACGTGCACGTGTCGTGGTCAAATATTTTCAGGCAACGGGCTGGGTCAGGGTTTGAGTTGGGCCAACGTAAACATGCATTCAAATGGCCCGTAACGCCATCAGGGCTGGCGTAAATGTAACGAAATGTTGCCAGACATTAGCACGCACGCATGGCAACGCCATGCACACACATATGTGTAGCTGTGTGCGTGTGCTCGTGCGTTCGTTTACATGAAAAGTAGGCGAAGCAAAACTCTGGAAACGGAAAATCAAAGTGCTTAATGGCATTTAATGGCACACTTACAGCCGGCCAAACAGACGACAGCAGAGGCATGTTACAAGGAATATGATAAGACCAGACGCTTGCTTGCCAAAATGTACACAATCTGAAACCGAATATCCATTCCAGCTACAAGAGCTAACACAACTTTTCAGTTTGCACACTCAAACCGCACACCGCTTTTTCTTAAGCCCTCGTGCTTGACGCACACACACACACACAGCTACACAAACGGACCACAAAAGCACATGCAAATTTACAGAGCACACAGGCCCTTGGCGGGGGGTAGGTAATGGCCAAACTGCCGCCCAATCGTAATTTGTGCTTGTTACATTAAAATTTGTGCTTACTCGGCTGAACGACATTTATGTATGACAAACGACCTTGTGGGCGTGACAGGCGGTCACTCGTTTGATTATCCTTTGTCAACCTTAACAAGGCTGGCGCATCGGGCATACTTAATTGCAGAAATCACAGCGCTAATGAACCCCTTCGCCAACGGCGTGCAGGGGGGGGTTAGTCAATGCCAGATTGAGTCTCTAATGCTAAGAAATCGATAGAAGTGCGGCCAACTCCGAGACGCCGCTTGGTCTGGCCGCACTTTGCCTAATTGGAGGCCCCTACACGGTTGAACGGTTGGTTGTGCAGTGTACGTACGCCGGTTTGGCTGCTACTCACGGGTGGTTTATCTCTCATATCTGGTATAGACCGTTGTCCCGTCCGCTAGGGTTTAGAGGTCCAAGAGTCCCGTAAATGGCCACCTGGTAGAATAAATTTTCCGGTGGTATTTTTGTACTGTATCTAAATACAAAAGATTCGCATTGTGGGCTGGCTTTATGACTTCTTGGCAGTTGCGATAAGACGCTTAGTTCAGTTCAATTCAACTCACACACACACACATGCAAGCGGCACACTTACACATGTGAATACATGGGAATTTGGTTATGTTGAAAAAGCACGCTCGGAAATAACGTTTTTTATTTTTCCTCCGTCTTGGCAACTCAACACAAATGTTATTTTTTTTTTTTGTTTTTTTTTTCGTTTTGTGGAACTTTTGTAAACCAGTAATTTATTTAGCAAGTTTTCTCAAAGGGAAATTTCAAAGTGAATATTTTGTAAAGCACATTTATTTTCTGGTTTGAAAACTAATTTTGCAATTACTTCGGGCCTCAAGTTGCCCAGTCGGCATGTTCATTTTTGTACGTCAGAAGTTCCTGAAAGAAACAGAAATTGCAACAAATAAGCATCCAATTGTTGGCCAGAAACGAGATAAGCGGCATTTTGAGCGCTAGCGCTCCGATGGCCAGCACACGGTACTCACCACGAAAATGGTCGATGGCGTGGTGCGTTTACTTAGACCTTGCACGCATCTTCCTGCGCTTACGCTTCAACCTACGCATACGCTTCTTACGCCACTGTAAATATACAAGAAACACGCATAATTGTAACAATTGCTCTTTACATATTTAATGCACTTTATTTTTTTTCTTAATTTTGCACTTTTTCGATTGCGAAAATAATATTTTACCTTAGCTCTCATTTTCCTTCTGGTCACGAAGACGATCTGAGAACGAAAGAACGATGGCCCAGCGGAAGTTTAGCTGGCAGCCTCGCGTGGCCGGGTTTGACAGCTGCCAAGTATCGATAAGTCATATGACAGCTGTTTGAGCATCGAATATGTCTGTTAGGTGGGGAGCAGCTCTGTAACTGTTAAGTGGGGAGCAGTTATGTTAAGTATCGATTAGCTCTGTTAAGTTAACGACTCAATAGTGGCATCGATAATAATAAAAAAATCAACTCTAAACTGGCGCCAAAACTACAGTAAATTTCTTTTTCAGACATTTTGCGTAGTATCAAAGCGATTCCGAAAGAATTACATACACCGGTTTACGGGCACCAAAAGCCTATTTCTCTTCCATCCATGGAGTCAATGGCGACGCGTATGTGTCTACATTGCCACAAATCAATTTTTCGACTACTGCGTGATGGCAACCATTCTCTTCAACTGCATTTTCCTAGCCATGACGGAGACCGTGGAGGAAGCTGAGTAAGTTCGTGTCCCCAATACGACATAAATCCATGAATAATATTCTATTGTATGTGCATACAGATATATCTTCCTAGCCATTTACTCAATTGAAATGGTAATCAAAATCATTGCCAAAGGCTTTTTGCTCAACAAGTACACGTATTTGCGTAATCCATGGAATTGGCTGGACTTTGTGGTTATCACCAGTGGATATGCGACCATTGGCATGGAGGTGGGCAATCTGGCTGGTTTGCGGACATTTCGTGTGCTGCGCGCCCTAAAGACGGTGTCCATCATGCCCGGCCTGAAGACAATTATTAACGCACTCTTGCATTCGTTTCGCCAATTGGCGGAGGTCATGACATTGACCATCTTCTGCCTGATGGTGTTTGCCCTCTTCGCGCTGCAGGTCTACATGGGGGAATTGCGCAACAAATGCGTACGCAATGTGCCCACAGATTGGACCAACATATCGCATCTGGATTGGAAAATGTAAACAAGCAACTAGATTAGATTTATATGAATGCATTTACTGTATGATTTTTGCTACTGTTGCAGTTGGGTCAACGATACGGACAACTGGCTGTACGATGATGAGGAGCTGCCCACGATCTGCGGCAATCTGACGGGCGCCCGCCATTGCCCGCTCGGCTTCATGTGCATCTGCGTCGGCGACAATCCCAATCACGGCTACACGAACTTCGACAACTTCATGTGGTCCATGCTGACAACGTTCCAATTGATCACACTGGACTACTGGGAGAACGTTTACAATATGGTAGGGCAGTTGCTGGCTTCTCGGCTGCTCACTCACTAATCCGTTTATCCCGTTTGCAGGTGCTGGCGGCTTGCGGTCCAATGAGCGTCATATTTTTTACTGTGGTTGTGTTTTTCGGCTCATTCTACTTAATTAATCTGATGTTGGCTGTCGTCGCATTGAGCTACGAGGAGGAGGCGGAGATAACAAATGAGGCAAGCAACAAACTCCTTTGGAATCCAATCTTAGCTCATGCCTGTTTTTGTTGTTATTTTCAGGAGCGCAAAAAAGATCTGTTGGATCATCGTGACGATTCCACGTTTAGCTTTGATCCATCTGTGCTGAACGTGAAGAAGCTCAGCAAGAACAACAAAAAGAAGATCGACTCACGCAAAGGCGTGCTCCTGGCCTCCTACAGCAAGAAGAAGACGCGCCGAAAAAAGACCAAAGGCGGCAAAGATAATACCAGCAACAATGGCAGCAATGGCGTCGAGCAGGAACACATTAAATCTCTCTCGGCAACGCCCAGCCCTGGACCCAGTCCGCGCAACAGCACCACAGAGCGTCCCTCGGCGCTGGCCCTGCAGGCGCAGCAGCAAATGGAGCAGCAACAACAACAACAGCAGCAGCAACAGCAGCTTGTCCAAACGGAAACGGCGGCCACCTCGCAGTCGAAGACACGCATCAGCTTTAGGGAGGGCAGCATAAAGAATCCCAACATGCTGTACCCCTCGGACTACAAGGGTCAGCTGATGACGAGCAGTCGCCAGACCAGCTCGAATTCAAGTGGCGGCGTCAATCGCGAGTCCTCTCAGGATGATTCCGGCGTTGTCGATGATCACGAGGAGCAGGACACGGCCAACGAAATGGGACATGTCTCCACCGTGGAGCTGGCGCTGTCGCCGCGCGAGGTGCGCCTAATCAAATGCAACGGCAATATTGCGCGCATCAAAAATCACAATGTCTATGCTCTGCATCAAGAGTATTCCTCAGAGGTGGTCGTGATTGGTGAGCATAGCAAGAGTCGAATCATCATAGTTCCAATATATACTCACGTTTCTGCACCTTACAGATGACCTGCCCGATCGGAATTGTGATCGCTGCGTGCACTGCTGCGCGGATTACGAGAGCTGGCTGCAGTTTCAGAACTGTCTCTACAAGGTGGTGCGAGATCCGCTCTTCGAACTGGCCATTACGCTGTGCATTGTCTTGAACACCGCTTTTCTGGCCATGGAGCATCATGGCATGAGCGAGAGCTTTCGCAATGCCCTCGATGTGGGCAATAAGGTGGCATTGATTGACAGCTGAGATTTGTCAACACAATATTAACAACTATTTTCGCGCAGGTCTTTACGTCCATTTTCACATTCGAGTGCATTGTCAAGCTGATGGCCCTCTCCAAGGAGTTCTTCCTGTGCGGCTGGAACATATTCGATCTGATCATTGTCACAGCCAGCCTGCTGGATATCATCTTCGAGCTGGTCGATGGCCTCAGCGTGTTGCGCGGCCTGCGCTTGGTAAGTCAACACATTTTTTAGCTATAATTTTAACAGATTTTAATCTGGTTCCTTCGCCCGTTGCAGTTGCGCGTGCTGAAGCTGGCACAGTCTTGGACAACGATGAAGGTGCTGTTGAGCATCATTATATCGACGATTGGTGCGCTCGGCAACCTCACGTTGATCCTTGTTATAGTCATCTATATATTTGCCGTGATCGGCATGCAATTGTTTTCCAAAGACTACACAGCCGAAAAGTTTGCGCCAGATCCCGTGCCCAGGCAAGACAACAGCTAGACATAATTGCTTGTGCACATATTTATAATATTCTTTTATATAGATGGAATTTCAATGATTTCTTTCACTCGTTCATGATGATTTTTCGCATATTGTGTGGCGAATGGATTGAACCGCTCTGGGATTGTATGCGCGCCGAAGAGGAGGCAAGTTTTACACCAGTTTTAATATTTAATTATACTTTATAATGTTTGTCAATTCACAGCAAGGCGCCTCGACCTGCTTCGCCATATTTTTGCCCACTCTGGTGATGGGAAACTTCATGGTCCTAAACTTGTTCTTGGCCCTGTTGCTCAACAGCTTCAATTCCGAGGAGCTAAAATCCAAGAAAGAGGCAAGTCCAATGCATAATCCCTTTAGCAAATCTCTTATCGATTGTTATGTAAATGTTTATGTCTAAACGTTAAATGTGTCTATGTGCGTGCAAAACAATGTTAATCCATTTAAACAAAGGAAATTCCTTAAACAAAAACCCAAGTCTTGAGCACAAGCCATGCTTGTCATAAAAACCAAAACGCTAAAAACTAAAACAAAGTAATTAATTAACTATTTATACAACTTATATACTCTATATGGTGTTTATACGAATTTGCATTGCATTGTTTGTTCGGCGTGAATATGTGTGTGTGTCTATAACTTAGCCAAGTAAAAAACAACTAAAAACAACTCACATTTAACACAAATGCATAAAAAAATTGATGCCAATTGAATTATACACTGAACAAAATTGAAACGCACTTTTTACAAAAGGTGTAACATACACACAAATCTTTAAATTAACAGCCCAAATTCTCATTTTCATTCACTAAAACTATTTGAATTGTTTAATCATTTATTTGATATGCACAAAAAAAATAGATTGTGCTTAATTTCGGCGCTGCTCGAAATTACGTATTTTCGTTGTTGTATTTACTTAACGTATGTCTTATGCATTTCTTTTATGTAATCCTGTCTAAGTCTCAGTGTCTAAGTCTTAAATACTTATCTGATAATATTTCTATTTGCACTAAATTTACTTGAATTTACTAAAAAAAAAAAAAAAAACTAAAACTTTGTTCGTCAACTTTGCACAATGCGTTTAAACTTTTAAATACTAAACACACACACCACAATATACCAAAAAAATACCAAAAAAATAATATCCCAACAATTTAACAACATTTAAATACACAAAAACCGTTAAACAGATTTTCAAGAAAAAGGTAATTTTTTCAAACTCAAACTTAAAAACTACTTAAACAAATTGTTTGCTGTTTTTTGTTAATTTAAAAAAAAAAAAACCCCAAAAAAATTCTTAACCAAGAAAAATTAAAAAACCGCGTGTAAATAATATCCCCAGGCTGCATATTGATTGTTATTGTTATTTGTAAAATTTGCAACTTTTGTGTTTCTCGATGTTTAGCTTTTTGCCGTTAGATTGTATATTGCATTGGATAAATGATTGACTATATATAGCATATATATAAATGTGTGAACATTCCAAAAATTTCAATATTGTAGTGAAACCTTTATCTTTGCATACCCTTAACAATGCAACGCGTCGGCTAATCTAGACTTTTCTCTTCGTGTAGGAGGTGGGCGAGGAGTCAAAATTGGCCCGCAGCATTGAGCGTGTGCGCGATCTGATACGCAAGAAGCGACAGGAGCGCAAGGATCGCAAGGAGCGCAAGTACGCGGAAAAGTTTCAACAGATTGTGCTCGAGGCGCAGCAGGCGCATGTCGCAGCCAGAGAAATGGACAAGTCCGGCCTGCTGGCGGAAACAAAGTTCCATAGATTAAGCTACCAGGTGAGTGGCCCACAAATATTCAATGCAAGTCGCAGCTTATAGATTTATTAAACATTCACAGGAATCTATGAATCGACCAGTTTCTGGCTCGGATTTTGGCTTCCAAATTCCGCTCAGCGATGGCCTGCACACCATAGTCGATGGCCTCGAGTACGATGAGACGGCAGAGGCAGCAGACCAGCAGCAGCAGCAGCAACAGTTGCAGCAGCCGGCTGCTGATTATCTGCCACCGACTTACGAGTGCGCCATGCTGTCCGCCACGAGCAATGGCAACAGCAATGGGGGCGACAACAATCTCACGTCGATGGCGGGCAGATTGCAGCATCAGATCTCCTCGGGCGTGGGCACACAGCAGAACGATTCGCGTGACGAGGCCACCTACACAGAGTCCATAGAGCTGCGCCTGCTGGGCCAGTACAATTCGACGGACACAGATCCCTATGCCTATGCGGCGGATCAGCGCAGCGGCTCGTTTGCGCGCGGCGATTCGCTGCAGGACACCGACGAGGCCTATCTCAAGTATCAAAAGTCGCTGTTAACACGTTCGCCCAGCTACCGCAAGTCGCTGGATCGCCTGTCGCAGTCCAGCGGGCAATCGCAGCGTTCGCTGCTGCCCTCGCGCAGCCTCAAGTCGGAGGAGAGCGCCATGCGGCGGCACTCGAGCGGGCACTCGCTAAACTCCATATCCCTGGAGCAGGATGAGCTGCTGTCGCAGCAGGCGAATCTGCGCGAGGAGCTGCTCAATTGCGATCAGAAGGAGCTGTTTCAGTTTTTGCAGGAGGACGACGAGCTGCTGGCCAAAAAGAAGACAACCACCAGCAGCATCAAGTCGAATCTCAGCTACATATCCAATTCCATAATGCAAACGCTGGACTCCAGGCACTCCAGCACTGGCAATGGGCAGCAGGAGAGCGAACCGCTGATGGAGCACTCCGAATTCGACAATATCATACAGAGTTTCGAGAAGGAGCTGGAGGAGATCAAGCGTTCGACCAGCTCGCTGGAGCGCAAAATCTCCACGCTCGCTGAGCCCTCGCCAGCTGCCGATGAGGCGACCAAGGCCATAATGGATCATATTGCTGTGATAACCGGCGCCTCGGAGCGCACCGCTGCCGATGAGGTGGTGCATCCGCTGAATCCTTACGATAGCTACGATCTGTCCAGTGTGCCGCGACGCTCGCAGTCCGTCAGCGCCGCCGCCCAGCGTCAGTCCGTCAAGCTGAAGCGTCGCAGCCTAGAAAAGCAGCGCAAAATCGACGAGGACTTTAGCATATCGAACGAAATACGCAAAATCTGTGATCAAATACACGCACCCTTCGCGGCCATGGAGGCGCTGGCCGTCGCAGCCACCAGTGGCAGCAGCAGCACCGGCGGCGGGCAGTCGCCCTTCATGCGCCGCAAGAATGATCCGTTTAGCGTGCAGTTCGATCGCTTTAAGCGCCTGTCGCTGATCGAACGCGTCGAGGAGCTGCCCGAGGAGGATAAGCCCATATCGACGCTGCGCATCGAGTCGGAGAAGATGCCGCGCAAGTTTCACAACAGCGAACAGCTGCGCCTCGACAGCCTCTCGCTGAAGAGCACCAATTCGTATGAGAATTTGCTCATACAGAAACAGCAAATGTGCCGCGAGGCCAACAATCCGAATGGAGGTGTGCCGGCAACGCCGCCAACATCCCTGAAATCGAGCATAGAGCCACCGACACTGGCGCAAATTTCATCGCTAAAGGCAACACCGCCGCTGGCTGCCCTCACTGAGCACCAGCAGCACTATCATGCCACAAGCATACAAACCACAATTGCAACAACAGCAGCCGCAACAAAAACAATGCACCCAACGGCTGTGGGCGCGGGCGCATCCAAGCGCCGCGCCGAGCATCCACAATCGAGACTAGACAAAGCCGCTTCCTTTCAATCGGGCCGCACCGAATCGCGCAGCTCGGGCGCCGCCGATAACAGTAGCTCGGCACACGCCGGTCCACGCTCCATGTCCAATGGCCAGCAACCAGAGCGGGCTAGCGAGAAGACTGAGCCGATGGCGGCGACAACAAAGCCGTCGGCGTTTTCACGACTGACCGAAAAACCATGGCATTGTCTGGTTTCCTACGTAGACGATCTCACTGTCGGTGGGAGACGTAACTCGCAGGGCGCCTACAATGACCCCATGACTTTTCCGAGCTATGGCCAGACAAAGCCGCCAAAAGTGCCAGATGATTGCTTCCCACAAAAGTGCTACGATCAGTGAGTATCTACTACATAAACTTTATATAAAGCCACAGCTCAAACCATGAGTTTTGACCGAGTTATGGGATTGGGAAGTTTGGACCCATGTCTATATAGAAATTTTGAGGGTATAATATTTACATGAATTTGGACCAATAATTCGGTTGTCAGATTTGAATGCCATTTTAAAGTGGGGGCCTAACCATGAATAAAAAGCCCAACCTCGTGGAAATCGGTTGAGTTTTGACCGAGTTATGGGATTGGGAAGTTTTGATCCATGTCTATATAGAAATTTTGAGGGTATAATATTTACATGAATTTGGACCCAAAATTAGGTTGTCAGATTTGAATGCCATTTGAAAGTGGGGGCCTAACCATGAATAAAAAGCCCAACCTCGTGGAAATCGGTTGAGTTTTGACCGAGTTATGGGATTGGGAAGTTTTGACCCATGTCTATATAGAAATTTTGAGGGTATAATACTTACATGAATTTGGACCCAAAATTAGGTTGTCAGATTTGAATGCCATTTGAAAGTGGGTGCCTAACCATGAATAAAAAGCCCAACCTCGTGGAAATCGGTTGAGTTTTGACCGAGTTATGGGATTGGGAAGTTTTGACGCATGTCTATATAGAAATTTTGAGGGTATAATATTTACATGAATTTGGACCCAAAATTACGTTGTCAGATTTGAATGCCATTTGAAAGTGGGGGCCTAACCATGAATAAAAAGCCCAACCTCGTGGAGATCGGTTAAGTTTTGACCGAGTTATGAGATTGGGAAGTTTTGACCCATGTCTATATAGAAATTTTGAGGGTACAATATTTACATGAATTTGGACCCAAAATTAGGTTGTCAGATTTGAATGCCATTTTAAAGTGGGTGCCTAACCATGAATAAAAAGCCCAACCTCGTGGAAATCGGTTGAGTTTTTACCGAGTTATGGGATTGGGAAGTTTTGACCCATGTCTATATAGAAATTTTGAGGGTATAATATTTACATGAATTTGGACCCAAAATTAGGTTGTCAGATTTGAATGCCATTTGAAAGTGGGGGCCTAACCATGAATAAAAAGCCCAACCTCGTGGAAATCGGTTGAGTTTTGACCGAGTTATGGGATTGGGAAGTTTTGACCCATGTCTATATAGAAATTTTGAGGGTATAATATTTACATGAATTTGGACCCAAAATTAGGTTGTCAGATTTGAATGCCATTTGAAAGTGGGGGCCTAACCATGAATAAAAAGCCCAACCTCGTGGAAATCGGTTGAGTTTTGACCGAGTTATGGGATTGGGAAGTTTTGACCCATGTCTATATAGAAATTTTGAGGGTACAATATTTACATGAATTTATAGAAATTTTGAGGGTATAATATTTACATTAATTTGGACCCAAAATTAGGTTGTCAGATTTGAATGCCATTTTAAAGTGGGGGCCTAACCATGAATAAAAAGACCAACCTCGTGGAAATCGGTTGAGTTTTGACCGAGTTATGAGATTGGGAAGTTTTGACCCATGTCTATATAGAAATTTTGAGGGTATAATAATTACATGAATTTGGACCCAAAATTAGGTTGTCAGATTTGAATGCCATTTTAAAGTGGGGGCCTAATCATGAATAAAAAGCCCAACCTCGTGGAAATCGGTTGAGTTTTGACCGAGTTATGGGATTGGGAAGTTTTGACCCATGCCTATATAGAAATTTTGAGGGTATAATATTTACATGAATTTGGACCCAAAATTAGGTTGTCAGATTTGAATGCCATTTTAAAGTGGGGACCTAACCATGAATAAAATGCCCAACCTCGTGAACTTCGGTTGAGTTTTGACCGAGTTATGGGATTGGGAAGTTTTGACCCATGTCTATATAGAAATTTTGAGGGTGCAATATTTACATGAATTTGGACCCAAAATTAGGTTGTCAGATTTAAATGCCATTTTAAAGTGGGGACCTAACCATGAATAAAATGCCCAACCTCGTGAACTTCGGTTGAGTTTTGACCGAGTTATGGGATTGGGAAGTTTTGACGCATGTCTATATAGAAATTTTGAGGGTATAATATTTACATGAATTTATAGAAATTTTGAGGGTATAATATTTACATGAATTTGGACCCAAAATTAGGTTGTCAGATTTGAATGCCATTTTAAAGTGGGGGCCTAACCATGAATAAAAAGACCAACCTCGTGGAAATCGGTTGAGTTTTGACCGAGTTATGAGATTGGGAAGTTTTGACCCATGTCTATATAGAAATTTTGAGGGTATAATAATTACATGAATTTGGACCCAAAATTAGGTTGTCAGATTTGAATGCCATTTTAAAGTGGGGGCCTAACCATGAATAAAAAGCCCAACCTCGTGGAAATCGGTTGAGTTTTGACCGAGTTATGGGATTGGGAAGTTTTGACCCATGTCTATATAGAAATTTTGAGGGTGCAATATTTACATGAATTTGGACCCAAAATTAGGTTGTCAGATTTAAATGCCATTTTAAAGTGGGTGCCTAACCATGAATAAAAAGCCCAACCTCGTGGAAATCGGTTGAGTTTTGCCCGAGTTATGGGATTGGGAAGTTTTGACGCATGTCTATATAGAAATTTTGAGGGTATAATATTTACATGAATTTGGACCAAAAATTAGGTTGTTAGATTTGAATGCCATTTTAAAATGGGGGCCTAACCATGAATAAAAAGACCAACCTCGTGGAAATCGGTTGAGTTTTGACCGAGTTATGAGATTGGGAAGTTTTGACCCATGTCTATATAGAAATTTTGAGGGTATAATAATTACATGAATTTGGACCCAAAATTAGGTTGTCAGATTTGAATGCCATTTTAAAGTGGGGGCCTAATCATGAATAAAAAGCCCAACCTCGTGGAAATCGGTTGAGTTTTGACCGAGTTATGGGATTGGGAAGTTTTGACCCATGCCTATATAGAAATTTTGAGGGTATAATATTTACATGAATTTGGACCCAAAATTAGGTTGTCAGATTTGAATGCCATTTTAAAGTGGGGACCTAACCATGAATAAAATGCCCAACCTCGTGAACTTCGGTTGAGTTTTGACCGAGTTATGGGATTGGGAAGTTTTGACCCATGTCTATATAGAAATTTTGAGGGTGCAATATTTACATGAATTTGGACCCAAAATTAGGTTGTCAGATTTGAATGCCATTTTAAAGTGGGGGCCTAACCATGAATAAAAAGACCAACCTCGTGGAAATCGGTTGAGTTTTGACCGAGTTATGAGATTGGGAAGTTTTGACCCATGTCTATATAGAAATTTTGAGGGTATAATAATTACATGAATTTGGACCCAAAATTAGGTTGTCAGATTTGAATGCCATTTTAAAGTGGGGGCCTAACCATGAATAAAAAGCCCAACCTCGTGGAAATCGGTTGAGTTTTGACCGAGTTATGGGATTGGGAAGTTTTGACCCATGTCTATATAGAAATTTTGAGGGTGCAATATTTACATGAATTTGGACCCAAAATTAGGTTGTCAGATTTAAATGCCATTTTAAAGTGGGTGCCTAACCATGAATAAAAAGCCCAACCTCGTGGAAATCGGTTGAGTTTTGCCCGAGTTATGGGATTGGGAAGTTTTGACGCATGTCTATATAGAAATTTTGAGGGTATAATATTTACATGAATTTGGACCAAAAATTAGGTTGTTAGATTTGAATGCCATTTTAAAATGGGGGCCTAACCATGAATAAAAAGCCCAACCTCGTGGAAATCGGTTGAGTTTTGACCGAGTTATGAGATTGGGAAGTTTTGACCCATGTCTGTATAGAAATTTTGAGGGTATAATATTTACATGAATTTGGACCCAAAATTAGGTTGTCAGATTTGAATGCCATTTGAAAGTGCGGGCCTAACCATGAATAAAAAGCCCAACCTCGTGGAAATCGGTTGAGTTTTGACCGAGGGATGAGATTGGGAAGTTTTGACCCATGTCTATATAGAAATTTTGAGGGTATAATAATTACATGAATTTATAGAAATTTTGAGGGTATAATATTTACATGAATTTGGACCCAAAATTAGGTTGTCAGATTTGAATGCCATTTTAAAGTGGGGACCTAACCATGAATAAAATGCCCAACCTCGTGAACTTCGGTTGAGTTTTGACCGAGTTATGGGATTGGGAAGTTTTGACCCATGTCTATATAGAAATTTTGATTTTTTTACATGAATTTGGACCCAAAATTAGGTTGTCAGATTTGAATGCCATTTTAAAGTGGGTGCCTAACCATGAATAAAAAGCCCAACCTCGTGGAAATCGGTTGAGTTTTGACCGAGTTATGGGATTGGGAAGTTTTGACGCATGTCTATATAGAAATTTTGAGGGTATAATATTTACATGAATTTTGAGGGTATAATATTTACTTGAATTTGGACCCAAAATTAGGTTGTCAGATTTGAATGCCATTTTAAAGTGGGGACCTAACCATGAATAAAATGTCCAACCTCGTGAACTTCGGTTGAGTTTTGACCGAGTTATGGGATTGGGAAGTTTTGACCCATGTCTATATAGAAATTTTGAGGGTACAATATTTACATGAATGTGGACCCAAAATTAGGTTGTCAGATTTGAATGCCATTTTAAAGTGGGGACCTAACCATGAATAAAATGCCCAACCTCGTGAAAATCGGTTGAGTTTTGACCGAGTTATGGGATTGGGAAGTTTTGACCCATGTCTATATAGAAATTTTGAGGGTACAATATTTACATGAATTTGGACCCAAAATTAGGTTGTCAGATTTGAATGCCATTTTAAAGTGGGGGCCTAACCATAAATAAAAAGGCCAACCTCGTGGAAATCGGTTGAGTTTTGACCGAGTTATGAGATTGGGAAGTTTTGACCTATGTCTATATAGAAATTTTGAGGGTATAAATTTACATGAATTTGGACCCAAAATTAGGTTGTCAGATTTGAATGCCATTTTAAAGTGGGGGCCTAACCATGAATAAAAAGCCCAACCTCGTGGAAATCGGTTGAGTTTTGACCGAGTTATGGGATTGGGAAGTTTTGACGCATGTCTATATAGAAATTTTGAGGGTATAATATTTACATGAATTGGGACCCACAATAAGGTTGTCAGATTTGAATGCCATTTTAAAGTGGGGGCCTAACCATGAATAAAAAGCCCAACCTCGTGGAAATCGGTTGAGTTTTGACCGAGTTATGGGATTGGGAAGTTTTGACCCATGTCTATATAGAAATTTTGAGGGTATAATAATTACAGGAATTTGGAAGCAAAATTAGGTTGTCAGATTTGAATGCCATTTTAAAGTGGGGCCTAACCATGAATAAAATGCCCAACCTCGTGGAAATCGGTTGAGTTTTGACCGAGTTATGGGATTGGGAAGTTTTGACCCATGTCTATATAGAAATTTTGAGGGTATAATATTTACATGAATTTGCACCAAAAATTAGGTTGTTAGATTTGAATGCCATTTTAAAGTGGGGGCCTAACCATGAATAAAAAGCCCAACCTCGTGGAAATCGGTTGAGTTTTGACCGAGTTATGAGATTGGGAAGTTTTGACCTATGTCTATATAGAAATTTTGAGGGTATAATATTTACATGAATTTGGACCCAAAATTAGGTTGTCAGATTTGAATGCCATTTTAAAGTGGGGGCCTAACCATGAATAAAAAGCCCAACCTCGTGGAAATCGGTTGAGTTTTGACCGAGTTATGGGATTGGGAAGTTTTGACCCATGTCTATATAGAAATTTGGAGGGTACAATATTTACATGAATTTGGACCCAAAATTAGGTTGTCAGATTTGAATGCCATTTTAAAGTGGGTGCCTACCCATGAATAAAAAGCCCAACCTCGTGGAAATCGGTTGAGTTTTGACAGAGTTATGGGATTGGGAAGTTTTGACCCATGTCTATATAGAAATTTTGAGGGTATAATATTTACATGAATTTGGACCCAAAATTAGGTTGTCAGATTTGAATGCCATTTTAAAGTGGGGGCCTAACCATGAATAAAAAGCCCAACCTCGTGGAAATCGGTTGAGTTTTGACCGATTTATGGGATTGGGAAGTTTTGACCCGTGTCTATATAGAAATTTTGAGGGTACAATATTTACATGAATTTGGACCCAAAATTAGGTTGTCAGATTTGAATGCCATTTTAAAGTGGGGGCCTAACCATGAATAAAAAGCCCAACCTCGTGGAAATCGGTTGAGTTTTGACCGAGTTATGGGATTGGGAAGTTTTGACCCATGTCTATATAGGAATTTTTATCAATTAACAATTTGAATTTGTCGTGCAGCTTTTACTTCCGCTGTCCCTGGTTCATGTCCTGCATGGACACACCGAGCGCCAAGCATTGGACACGCGTGCGAACGGCTGTCTTGACGGTTGTCGATACTCCAGCCTTTGAGTGGTTTGTGCTAGTGTTGATCTTTGCGTCGAGTATTACGCTCTGCTTCGAGGACATCTATTTGGATAGCAATAAGACGCTGAAGCGTGTGCTCTACTGGACGAATTTCTCCTTTAGCCTGATCTTTGTACTGGAAATGGTGCTCAAGTGGCTGGCGCTGGGCTTCTCCAAATATTTTACCAGCTTTTGGACCATACTCGATTTTATCATAGTGTTTGTAAGTACTATATTTATATTATATATATTATATATACATACATCTAATTATGTGTATTTATCTTTTGGCTAGGTCTCCGTTTTCTCGCTCCTCATTGAAGAGAATGAGAACCTTAAGGTCCTGCGCTCACTGCGCACCCTGCGCGCCCTGCGTCCACTGAGAGCGATCTCTAGGTAAGTAGCCGGCCGGGTCGTCTAGGTTTAGATTGCACCAACTGCTGATAAGCGAGATTTCTCTTAATGCTAAACTAATGAAGTAAGCTCTCTGTCCACGTAGGTTTCCATTTTCTTGTATGTATCTTATTTCTTTGAACGATTCGGCATAAGCGTTGCCCGAGCTTTAATACAATCTCGTCTTCTTTATGAATTTCGAATAGAAATCTATTTGTAGTTCACACCGTCATGTCCACCAACTTATGTACATAGCTAACGAACATAGTTTATAATAACCTTGTAAACATTGTAAATAAGCAGTTAACACTACTGTATATAATTTATATATATAAATATAAATATTATGTGTAGATTTTTTGAACAGATGAGAAACGAAAGCACATTCCTATATATATTTATAATCGGCCTTTATGTATTGTAGTCCGATCCCGATCCCGTAACAATTTAGCATTTCATAAAACATTTCTATTCCAGGTGGCAAGGAATGCGGATTGTAGTAAATGCTCTCATGTATGCAATACCATCAATTTTCAATGTACTTTTGGTTTGTTTAGTTTTTTGGTTAATTTTCTCAATAATGGGTGTACAATTCTTTGGTGGTAAATTTTTCAAATGCGTCAATGAATTGGGCGAATTGCTGCCAATTACTGTAAGTATGCCGAACAGACCGCCCCAAGCAGGCGAATCCCAATTACCCAACCACATTGCCCAAGCTCCAATTAATATGTTTTCCATTTGCAACTTACAGGAGGTCAACGATAAGTGGGACTGCATCGAGCAGAACTACACGTGGATCAATTCGAAAATCACCTTCGATCATGTGGGCATGGGCTACTTGGCGCTGCTGCAGGTGGCCACCTTTGAGGGCTGGATGGAGGTGATGGCGGATGCTGTAGATGCGCGTGGCGTTGATCTGCAGCCGCAGCGCGAGGCCAATTTATATGCGTATATTTATTTTGTTATATTTATTGTGTGCGGATCGTTCTTTACGCTCAATCTGTTCATTGGAGTTATCATTGATAACTTCAATATGCTCAAGAAGAAGGTAAGCCATGTGGCCTAAGCTCCTGCTCCAGCCACAACTAAACTATGCATTTGTTTATCTGTACATAAAGCAACTACCTATCCAACTACCTGTATACCTCTATACCTCACCTCACCTGAACTGAACCGAACTGTACAATACATAATCTATAAACCCTCTTCCCAATTGTTGCTGTTCATTCAGTTATCGATGTTTTATAACTAGCGTGTGCGTGTGTGTGTGTGTTCTATCATTTGACTTATTTATTAATTGTGTATTGTATGTATTTGTATATAAAAATAAATGTTCATTCTATTCTCATCACTTTTATAGTATGAAGGAGGAGTGTTGGAAATGTTTCTCACCGAATCTCAAAAACATTATTACACCGCTATGAAAAAATTGGGACGAAAGAAACCACAGAAAGTTATTAAGCGACCTATAAATCATTTTTTAGCTATGTTTTATGATTTATCCAATTCGAGAAGGTAAACAAAATAACCAACAAAAGCGGTTTTCTGCAAAACCCAAACAAATTGCTTACTTCTATATAAATTTAACTATAGTTTTAATTATATACTTACTGTTAGTCTTATAATACTCTGGTTAGGCACACACACTCTCTCTCTCTCTATATATATATAATTAAGTTTTGCACGTTAGGTTACTATAAAAAAATATATTTCAATTTATTATTTTCACTTAACGGCTACTTTTGTTGAGTACATTCAGATTTGCTTCCCGAATATGAACTGATTTATCTAACTGTTGCGGTCGCTTAGCAAACTTCGCTTTGAGAGAGTTTGAGTCAAAATTGAGTGAAGTTTGAGCTGCGTCAGCAATTATGCGTGGGATAGTACTCTGATGGGAACATTGACAGTGGCGTGATATTTAGGGTGAATTGTTTATGTCTACCAAAGGGGGACAGTTTGATCTTGACCAATGTCGATGTTATCACCAGGCTCTTTGTTTACAATATTAGAAATGTTTATAATTGTGCTTATGCTTATGTGCTAAGTTATGTTAAAGGGTGGGTGCGACTATGGATATGTCACTCCCCCAACCATTAGAAAAGTGCCTGTCCTCAGGTGTTTAAGTTTGGATATAGTGTAACATTTTCTTCTTTTAGAATTGGTATATCTCCTATTATTGTAGGTGTTTCTTCTACTTTGGGTTTTTTATATTTTATAATTAATTTCTTAGGTATGCTTTTGAACTTATATGTCAAATACAGTGTTAAACTTATTAATATGATTACAAATATGGTTATTGTAATTATCTGGAATACATTGTTAAATTTTGTATGTGCATTTATAATTTGTTTCGTTTGTACAAACGAAAGTGGTTCTAATTTTATAACATCATTGCTTACGTAAATGCTTTGAGTATAATCTAACATATTGTTTGAAATTGAAATTTCATTAATTTGCAATGAACAATTAAAGATTTTTATTATATTGTTTCCTTCTATTGTTATTTCGTTATTTATACAATTATGGTTTAATATAGTTTTTGGTAAATTCCAAGTTAAAATTATATTTGGTTCTATGTAGTTGATTTGAAAATTTTGCAAAATTTTAGTATAACTACATTCTGATGTTATTTGGTTTAAAATTCCTGTTAAACATTCATTATTAATTAATTTTTTTGTTTCTCTGCTATAAACTTTTTTATCTTGGGTAAAATATTTTTCATGAGCTATTTCTGTCAAAATATTATTATTTTCATCCGGGTATGGAATTATTTCGAATACCGGGCTTTTTATTATTTCTCGAGGAATATGGGATATTATCAGTATTTCGTTTGTATCTGATTTAAACCAAGTGGAAGTTTTTGTATTCAACAATTTCTCAGAATTAACATGCAACAAATAGTCATGTTTTAGTAATTTTGGGTTAAAAATTCCTAATCTTGTGAGCTGCATTCCCATCTCAATGTCTTCTATATATTCTGTAAAGTGTTGTAAGTTAAATATAAGGATATCTAATTTCTTTCCTTTTTGTTTCTCTTGATCTAGTTCGTTCATGATTTCTATTCCTTTGTTTATAGCTTCTATTATGTAATTTAATTCGTTAACCTGAACGCTGTTTTCTGCTAAGTTGCTTATTTTTTGTTTCTATTAATGATGCAAATTTTGAATAGATATCAATGCAAGATAAAAATTGTTTATCTCCTACTATGTAAAAATCCATTACATATTTTTCTCGGATATTAGCGATTTCCGGAGTTATTTCGAAAGTTAATTTTGTATCTCTGTGTTCTGTTTTTGCGATGTTGCAAATCTCACATTCATTTATTAGATTTTGAATTAAATTTTGATAATCTGGGAAATAGTGGGTTTCTTTGAACCAATTGATAGTTTTTTCAATTCCTGGGTGTAATAATTCTTTGTGCTTTTTTAATATTAATTCTTTGAATTCTGCGTATGTTTGAAGGTCTATTAATTTTGTACTAGTTTTCATTGCCTTTGTTGAATTATTCGGACTTATTATTTCTAAGTAGGCTTCTTGAAAAATTGGAAAATCTGCTTCGTTGTGGAAGTATAGCACACTTTTCTTTGTGCATAAGTATTCTTTTATTAATTCTTTGGCATGCGTATTAGTCATGTCTTTGTACGTAATTTTTATGTTGGTTTTGTGAAAGTAATTCGTAACTTTTGTTTCGTTCTCGGTTCCTTTTTCAAATTCTATTTGTCGATTATAATAATTAAGTGGTCTTTCTGTGATTTGTAAATGGTTACTGTTGTCTTCTTGAGCACTATGTATTGTTGCTCTTGTGCTAATTGTATCTTCGCCTAAGAAGTTTTCGTTTAATTGAATTCTGGACAGAGCATCTGCCACATAATTTTCTTTTCCTGGGACGTATTTAATTTGGAAATCAAACTCATTTAGCTTGATCTTCCACCTTTGTAATTTCATGTTAGGTTCTTTCATATTATTTAACCAGACGAGTGGTCTGTGATCACTAAGGATTTGAAATTGTCGACCAAAGAGATAGGACCTAAAGTATTTAGTGGCCCAAACGATTGCTAATAATTCTTTTTCAATCGTTGAATAATTTAACTCATGCTCGTTGAGAGTTCTACTTGCATAGCATATAGGCTTATGCTCTTGCGAAAGGACGGCCCCTATTGCCATATTACTCGCGTCTGTAGTTAATGAAAATGGTTTTTCGAAGTTAGGGTATATTAAAATTGGGTCGGATGTTATGAGTACTTTTAGCTTTTCAAACGCTAGTTCGTAGTCTCTGTCTTTTATATTGATTTTTGCTCCTTTTTTTAATTTAAGTGTTAATGGTTTTACTATATTAGCGAAATTTGGTATAAATTTCCTATAGAAACCACATAATCCTAGAAATGATTTAATTTCTTTTGGGGTTTTTGGAATTGGGAATTTGACAATTGCTTGTATCTTGTTGGGATTTGGTTTTATACCCTCAGTTGTGATTATGTGACCGAGAAATTCAGTTTCTTTTCTCATAAACTCGCATTTATCCAACTGTAGTTTTAAGTTAGCTTCTCTAAGCTTCTTAAATACCTTTTGTAGCGACAAAATGTGTTCCTCCAATGAAGTGGAAAAAATAATAATGTCGTCTAAGTAGACCAGACAATCCTTAAAAATTAAATCTTCTAAGAGATTGTTCATACAACGTTGGAACGTTGCAGGTGCATTCTTAAGACCGAATGGCATGCGAGTGTACTCGTAATGGCCATGTTTAGTCGAAAATGCGGTCTTGGGTATTGAACCAGGATCCATTTGGATTTGGTGGAAGCCTTTGGCTAGATCAATGGTTGTGAAATATTGACATTTTCCAAGTTTGTCTAATATTTCATCCATGATCGGGATAGGGTATTTATCATTAATAGTTAGTTCATTGAGATTGCGGTAATCTATGACTAACCGGAACTTTTGCTTTCCAGATGCATCGTTTTTCTTTGGAACGATTATTACTGGTGAGCAGTAAGGGGATTTGGATTTACGTATGATATTTTGTTTTATCATATCGCTTATTTGTTTATTTACTTCCTCATCGTATATTTGAGGATATTTGTATGGACGCTTGTAAATTGGGTCCTCATGTTTTGTTAGAATTTTGTGTTTAATTGTACTAGTGAAAGTCAAATTGTCACCTTCATGGTACTGGATATCACGAAATTCATGTAAAACTTTTTTTATTTTTTCTTTTTCTTCTGAGTTTAGGTGCTCTAGCCTAAACTCATTGTTTTCTATTAATTCATTATTAATAGCGAAGTTAAATGGTCTGTCCTCTGTTGAGGGTGGATCAAGGCACTCTTGTGCGGTCATGTCCTCTTCGACCTCTTCGTCGTTATATCTAAAACAAAAGTTAAATTCTCCTAAGGTTACGGATCCTTGTGCATAGTCTATTTTTGCTTGACATGCCTCAAGGTATTCTCTCCCAATCAGAACATCATAATGCTCTGAGAAGTCGTGAATATAGAATTTTTGTTTGCTCGGACAAATTTTGCTTGCTCCTAAGCGTATACTTTGTTTTAATTCAATAACACCATTTATGGTGTGAACCTTTAATGTTTCGTTGTAAACTGGAAAATTTAAGCGGTTTGTTTTCATTAGATTTATGGTTGAACCTGTGTCGATGACACATTTTAGAACTTCGTCATTCATAATCAATTTTATGAATGGATTTGTTCTGTTTGTTCCGAGGCTTGCTGATGAAAATTTTCGGATGTATCCATTTTCATCTGCCCACTGTTACTATCTCTTTGACGTTTAGTCGGAGGGTTTGGTGCATTCAAGCGTGAATGGGACTGATTTTGGTAGTTTAAGGGATTTTGGTATCTACCTTGACTTAATTTCTGTTGGAACTCGTGGTGAGCTTTCTGATTGTCTTCGGACTTATTATGCTGTTTATTTTGTGCGTGATAACTCTGATTCGTGTTGGAATAACCACTTGAAATGGTGGTTGGGTTAGCATTTTGCTGATAATTTCCCATGTTCCTACGATTGTTATTTGGATTTCCCTGAACATTATTATTTTTAGGTTTTTCAGTAACGCTATTTTCATATAATCCCTCTCTTTGAGCTACTTGCTTTAGTTTTTGTGTCGACGTAATGTCGTGTCTGGCTAACATCATGAAAAGCCTATCTGGTAATTTTTTTGTAATAACATCTTTGATTGTGTTATTCATAGCATTTGTATAAAGGGTTGTATTGCTAGGTATATTTTCTAGTGCTAACTTATTTAAAATAACAAAAGATTTATTCTCGAGCTCCTCGATGAACTTACGGACGTTTCCTTGGTAATTCGTGTTGTATAAGCGTCGAAGGAGTTCTTCAAATGGTGTCTGCACTTTGTATTCTTCAATCAATGCGTTTCTCAGCTCCTGCCAAGTGTTGGCTGCTGTCCTTTGTGATATTCTCTGAGCATCTCCTGTGACTTGCAATTCGATGGCTCCGTATAAGATGCTATGTTGTCTAACATCTCGGGTTGGATACAGGTGTAGGATGTA